CGGTTTGTATGTTTGGTTTTCTTGTTCCGACAAGGAAAAAGACTACTAGCTCACAAAGCTCTTTACCTTGAGACACAGGCCAAAACGTCAGCATCGGTCAATCATCGGATTGATGTTATTTTTTGTGAGGTTGACAGTTAAGCTGCACTGATTATTTTAAAGCGTAAAACTCCTCTTGCAAGCATCGATATATCTAAGAAGATTTGAATGACTAAAGATGAAACATCAAAGACATCTAACCTTTCATAAATACCAAGCAGATGGAGACATCGTCGCGGAATCCGACATAAATATTTGCGCGATTGATGCTGTGCCTTCTTTATTTTGCATTTATCATGGGGTACATCTTATTAAAAATTTGTTATACAAGAGCGCGCTGAACTCAAGTAATTGCAAACAACAGTGAAAATAAAAGCCTTGCAAATGTTCGAAAATGATGGTTCATCCAAAGAGTCCAAGCAGGTTCAGAAGACCTCCAATACCGCCTCCGCCTTTGCCTCCTCTTCCGCCGCCGACTCCGAATAAATTCAGCAGCCTTCCAAGTGCACCACCTCTTCCTAATCCACCTCCTTGCCTCTCCTCGTCTAATGTGCCGTCTCCTAATCTGCCCCTCCCTAAACCACCTCTTCCTAATCCTCCCCTTCCTAAAAGACCTCTACCACTTTCTCTATCACTGCCACGTCCAACTGGACCACCACGGTAAGGAATGGAATCAATATTTTCGTAATCAGACGTAAGGCTGTCTTGTACGTGTCCGTGGCCAAGCGGTCGCCGGCGTCGGGCATTCCTTCCTCGTCCAGTCGGTCGTTGTCTAGACTCATAATCATAATCGCCACGTGGCACTTTTCGTGCCGCTGGTTCGACTTCTTCGAATTGCCTGGGTTGCCTTACGATTCGCTCGTCGACAGTTTGTAAACCAGAGTAAAGCCCCGTAAAATCGGTACCGCTGGTCGATGGCCGTTGGTCAGTCTTACCAGTGTGAGCGGAAGCTGCGACCGCCATCACCACCACGGATACGGTAAACATGGCTGCTGACCATAAAATTGCCATATTCTGTCACCGTTGCGCAGTTTCTTGTAGGACAACGACGTGAAGACACCTTCGGTATCCGGCAGCGAAAACTACACGACGGCAGCCGGCACATCTTGAACTCGATCGTCACAAAATCTCAGTCGAACCCAAATCTGGTTTGGTCATTTGGTGGCTGCATCGGGTTCAGGCAGCTTAAAGTCGGCCAGCACGCCTGCGGTCGTCACACGTCAGGAGCATCACACAATTCGTTCTGCCGTCAGTGAGTATTGAGGTCGCGGCGGTCCTCAAAAAACTCTAACAGCTCTAATCTCTGTCATCGCCGTTCAGGTTTTCATATCCCGTTTCAACGTCATCACATCGCCT